ATCAAACGTTCATTTAATTTTCGAATAAATCCGATTCTCGATCGTTCTTATCAGGGAGAATCCAACGTAGTTCCTAATGAAGCACTTGATTTCATTAAATTTGTAAATGAATCACCTTCACCATTTCATGCGGTAGAATCAGCTCGTCTACGTTTGATTAATGCTGGTTATGAAGAGATTAAAGAACGTGATAACTGGTCCGGAAAGTTGAAGCATAATGGAAAATATTATTTTACAAGAAATCGAAGTACTATCGTTGCCTTTGCTGTAGGCGGTCGTTATGTTCCTGGTAATGGTATCTCAATTGTTGGTGCACACACAGATTCTCCTTGTTTGAAGGTAACATTCTTAAATATTGTATGAGGATCATCTTGACGAGTTATTTAATCACATTTAATTTTTTATCAGCTTAAACCTGTATCCAAAAAAGCATCAGCCGGTTATTTACAGGTTGGAGTTGAAACCTATGGAGGTGGCCTTTGGTAAGTTTTTTGTTATATATATGAGGAAAAAGGGCCGTTCGGACCTTTGTGTATATTATTATAACCTAATATACTTTAAAGTCCGAACGGTTAGCAATACTATGATATTGTCCTTAGATCGTCCATTAATTAATTTTACATGTTGATAGGCATACCTGGTTTGATCGAGATCTTAGCATTGCCGGCCGTGTAATGGTCGAAACTGACGAACGTCAATTTGAACACCAACTCATTAAAATCGACAGGTTGGAATAATTAAATTTACTTATATGACTTCCAGCTAAATAAAAAATGTGATAATTATTCTGAAAAAATGATAATAGACCAATTCTTCGTGTCCCTACATTGGCCATTCATCTCGATCGTGGCATAGCAGATGGCTTCAATTTTAACAAAGAAACTCATTTGACTCCGTTAATTGCTACTGCGACAAAAGCGTAAGCTATAGTATTTGTTTTTTTATTTCACACTAGATAACAATAAATATTAAAAACTTATGTGCTTTACAAGCTTGGCAAATGGGTCCGATAGCGACAATAAAAA